GCCCTTAACGATACTTGCTATGAAAAAAATGACTAAGTTCTGTTTAATGGGACAGAGAAGAGAGGGAGAGACAGACAGAGGTACATATAATCCAGGAGAGGTAATTAGTATCATTTCATAAAGTTTATAGTAACACCAAACGTGAACTAACCTGGAGAACCATACTCGTGCCTTGGCAACCTACAGATCTTAGGCATCACCTCCATCAGGGTCTTGACATACTGAAGAATTGTCCCTTGTAACTAAGAGAAAAGAGGCACTTGTTAATGTGTTACTAGAGAAAAACAAAAATTGTGTTCAAGCCACATACAGATTGAACGTGGTCTTGAATTTAGCCCTGTGCCAGCCATCATCTTCAAAAAAGGTCACTCTTTCAAATGAGGACAGCTGCATTTTCCTTCACATGGTATTAGCTGCTTTTTGCTACAGGAAGAATGGCTCGACAGCTAAAGCCAGGAAGGAAAAAAAAAAGTACAGGAAATCACCAACTGTTCTTACAGCCAGCCTCGACTGTCCAACCAACTTTCTGATGTTAGTAAACAAGTTCATCAGAATGTTTTCAAAAGGAGCAAAAGAATAATGCTTAGTATGCTTAGCATGAGGCATGTCTGTAACAGCTTCAACTGGCTATTCTAGGCACACCAGTTAAGACACAGCTCCAGTCCATAGTCCTACCTTCCTGCCATAGACACCTATCTCCCAACATCTGAGCGTTCAGATCACACATCCCCCCACCCTGAGGCTTTTCAGCCACCTTAACTTACTTATTCCATGCTGCCTTTAATAAATTGAGGTGATCTGCAAAAAGTAAAAATAATCCCCCTCAAAACAATTAACCAACACTCAGCTCCACATGAAAATTACATTTCCATCTTTCCCTGAAGATTATACCATAGAATCATATAGAATCACAGAGTTGTAGATGGCCTGGGTTGAAAAGGACCACAATGATCATCTGGTTTCAACCCCCTGCTATGTGCAGGGTCAGCAACCACCAGACCAGGCTGCCCAGAGCCACATCCAGCCTGGCCTTGAGTGCCTCCAGGGATGGAGCATCTACAGCCTCCTTGGGCAACCTGTTCCAGTGTGTCACCACCCTCTGAGTGAAAAACTTCCTCCTAATATCCAAACTAAACCTCCCCTGTCTCAGTTTAAAATCATTCCCCCCTGCCCTATCACTATCCACCCTTTAAACAGCCATTCCCCCATCACTCCTCCAAACAGGCTCCATCTTTTCAGACATTTCAAAAACATACTTAGAACATTGTTGGAATGACAATAAACAATTTGTCAACTGCCTGAAGTGAGCTTAAGAATAGTGCAGCTATGCACCTGTTACATTTGGACTAAGTTGGCAGCATGCTCCTTACAGAAACACGAGCTGGAGAGGGAAAAACCACTCCTGTAGCTGAAACTTACTAGCAACACATTATGATTGTATGCAAAGATGTTCATACAGTAAACAAACAGCCTCTCAACTCCTAGCTCCAAAAAAGGTTGTTTCCAGTACTAGTATCCATAGGCTGTATGGGTAACTCCTCCAACATCTGATGGTCTGAGTACTTCTCTGAATAGGCCTGATGCTACCCACTTCTAGATAAAGCACTGAGATTAAGCCTTCCTTGTGATTAAGGCTTATCCATCAGTGACATTATTAATCAAAGCCCTGAAGTCACAGAAGGCAGAAAGCACACTCCAGCTGCTTTAAAGCACTCTGAGAGGGTAAATTTATGGTACATTTTTTAGTTTCAACCAACTCAATGGAAACATTTATACTTTTCCAGAGTTTATCTAGGACCCAGCAGCATAGATCTCCACAAATTGAATTAATCCCCAAAGCAGAATTCAAGATTTTCAAAACACTGCTCAGCTTCCCAAGGTATATCTTCTATTGCTTTCACAAGACACCAGGCATTCCCAAATACAGCTTGCATTGAACTTCAGTGGGTGTAACATTTTAATTTAAGCTGAAATCTTAGTTTCCTTAGACATCCTACTTCCATTTTATTTTTCTTAAGATATTTCCTAGCAGAAGCTATTCAGAATAGCAAAACTGACAGACATTGCATACCAGGCTCTTGACGACTTTCAGCAGCTCCTCCATCACCACAGCAATCCCCTGATAGCCAAGAAGCCTACAGATGACTTTAAAGTGAGGGGGGCCAACAAAATTCCTATAGTTGCTGTAGATGCTTGAATATGCCAGATTCAAGGCCTGAAATGAGGAAAAACAGATTGCATTAAATGAAAAATCTAAGCTGACTGCATCTTACAAATAATCTCATTTAAACACCACTTTGTAGAGTATTAAAAACGACGTAAATCTTGTATCTCACTCTCTATCCAGAAAGTTAAAATATAAGGCTTCATTTTCGGAAGGCAGGAACTCTCTTGCTAAGCAAGAAAAGCCCATAAGAAGTATTTACAAAAAAGTATTTACTCACCAGACACTTTTCACTTGACATTTATAAAGTCACAAACATTACCTCATGTATTTTTCTGTTTACACAAGTAGAAAAGGATGATGGGTGCACGAATTTGAAGCACAACTTCTATTCCTACGCAGTCCATTTTACGTACAGCACATCTTTAAAGAAGTTACTTCAATTTTCAGCTCACAACAGGTGTTGTAAAACTCTGTAAGAGGATCCCCTTACAGAAAACAGCCTTTTGCAGTTACTGCTCTCTCTAGCTAATTAATAAGGATCTCTTTTCTGCAACCCCCCCTAGATGCACACAAGATTAAAGCAAATCCAAGTCTGGGATGCACCCTCACAAAAATTCTTTTGGAGTTTATAAAGAAACACAGGATCAAGTTAGAAGGGACTCTTAAAGGTCACCTAGTCCAACTCCCCTGCAATGAACAGAGACACACCTACAGCTACATCAGGTCACTCAGAGCCCTGACCAGTCTGACCCTGAGTGTCTCCACAGATGGGGCATCGACCACCTATCTGGGCAACCTGTGTCAGTATCTCGTAACTCTTATTGTAAAAAACTTCCTTATATCGAACCTAAATATCCCAGCTTCTGGTTTGAAACCATTTCCTCTTGTCCTATCACCACAGACCTTCCTAAAGAGTCTGTCCTTTTCTTTCTCAAGCCCCCCTTTAGATACTGAAAGGCTGTGCTCAGCTCACCAGGCTGAACAGCCCCAGCTCTCTCGGCCTGTTCTTGGAGGAGAGGTGCTCCATCCTTGGGTCATTTTTGCAGTCCTCTGGACATGCTCCAACAGCTCCATGTCTATCCTGTACTGAGCACTCCACATCAGGCCTCTAGGTGAGGCCTCCCCAGCTCAGAGCAGAGAGACCTCCCTCACCCTGCCAGTCACTCTTCTTCTGATGCAGCCCACAATTTGGTCGGCTTTCTGTGCTGACTTACATCCAGCTTCCCATCCACCAGTATCCCATGTTTTTCAGCAAGGCTGTGCTCTATCCTTACATTCCACAGCCTGTACTGGTAGATCAGGTGGAGATCAGGGCCTTCACTACACCGAAGAGTAAGCAGAAATATACAAACGGATGCTGAATAGGGATTTAGAAAATGTTTGCTAAAGCTATGGATCAAAGGGGTGTTGGCCAACTTCACCTGGGGTGCAGCAAAGGACCACAAAGAGAATTAAGGGCTTCTACAAGGAAAGACAGAGCTAGGCTGGTCAGCCTGGAGAGAAGGCGGATCCTGTCCACGTGTAAATGTACCTGGTGGGGAAGTAAGGGAGCTGGGCTCATCTCAGACATGCTCAGCGCCAGGACAAGAGGGCACAAACAGGAAACTCCAGTTAAACACGTTATTACTGGAAGAGTGGTCAAACGGGGAGGCTGTGCAGTCTCTGTCCTTGAAGATGTTCAAGGCTGCAGCCCTGAGCAACTCACTAGAGGCGGCCCTGCCATGGCTGATGGCTGACGTGTCTTCTGCCACCCTGTGAAGACAATGCTAATTCCAAACTCTCAGCGACTGAACAGCACGAAGCTGCAGTCCCTCGTGTACAACAAACCTATCTGTGCAGATTTCTGCTCACACTGAGAGGATCTGGGACACTGAAGAGGATGAGAACTGGTAAAATATTAAGCGTGCAGACAAATGTCCCAACATATGAAACATTTTATAGAGTTATCTCAAAAAGGAAAGACTCCTTTTCTTTCTCCTGATGTTCCCAATCAGGTAAATCTACACATTAAACACGTCCAAAGTATTTCAGCCACAGCACAAAGAGAATTTTCCTTCACTGGCTTAAAGCATCCCACTGCCACCAGCTCTCTCGTATGCTGGTTAGAAGGGAGCTCCCTTCGCACAGCAGAAATCTGTCACAGAAAGGCAAGCCCTAAAAACATGGTTTCATTATAAATAACTCACCAGTGCATACCAGTAAGTCTGCCAATCTAATAATACACCGTTTTCCAAGTAACCTTTGCAGAGAAGCACCTGACATAATCTACCTGTAAGCACGGGATCGGCAGTAAGCGAAGCAGGACCGAGGATTTAGAAAACCCCATCACACAGCATTGTTGCTTTCCCCCCATGGTGCACTAAACCATAAAACACCGAGGGAAAATGCCACTAACACAGAGGGAGGGGAAGGTAGAGAGAGGGAGCTTACATTTGTTCAGCTACGCTTTGCTCCCTCCCCTCCTGAAAGTGAACAAAACAACAACAAAAAAAAGAGTTGCTGGTTGCTGATGTCATCCAAGAGCTAACATAAATCACTCACAGCACCACCAGTACAGGCACAGGAGCATATAACAGGGATGTGCAGGCAGCGTGCTGCCCAACGTGAAGCAAGCAAGGGAGGGGGGGGAAAGGACATGATTTTTTTCCTCTATGTTCTTTGAAAACCAAGGCAACAGCACCTTTAGACAAGATATGGCCCTGCCTGAATTTAAGTAGAAGAGACAAAGAAACCATGCACCAGCAGTGCCGGGAGGAAAAACACAGGAGCGAGCAGTGAGAACTCAGTCCCAGGAATCTGAAGGGAAGAGAAAGCAAACTGGCAACAGAGAGCATGAAGCTCCAGTAACTCCTGATGAAAACGATGCAGAACGTTTGGTGCCTGTTCATTCATTTCCTCGGCATCACCACCCGGCAGTCCTGGTCTGACATTTCTCCCAGGAGGCAATGGTAAGTACTGACTTCACAAAACACCAGATGTGCTTTCCAAACATTTACTTGTCCTAATTACGCACCTTATAACAAATGATGTGTTATAATTACAGAAAAAAATAGTATTACTGTTATTTAGTAAAGCACCAAATACTCTACTTAAAAAATGCTGTGATGAATAAATGTTTCTAGACAGTATTAGGAAGTGTTCTATAAAAAATAATTACATTTTTAAATAATTAGGATTCACCAGCTAGAAAGGAGACAATTGAACAATGAAAAGGTCTGCTCCTACCAATGATCAGAAGTCAGTTACGTGTCAAAATGTGTCTCTCTGTTAAGCTTATCTGATAGAAAACTCAGTTCCTTTATCCGGCTGCTGTACTGAAAAGAGTGCACTTAACTTGATCAGGAAGGCAGCACCATACCATCACAGAAACATTAAGGCTGGAGAAGACCTCTATGATCCCCCAGTCCAACCATCAGCCCACCCCCACCATGCCCACTGCCCACGTCCCTCAGTGCCACATCCACACGGTTCTGGAACACCTTCAGGGATGGTGACTGCACCACCTCCCTGGGCAGCCTGTGCCACTGCCTCACTGCCCTTCCTGACCAGACCTTGCATAGGAAAGAATATTAGCAATTAAAAAAATAAAATAAAATAAAATAAAAAAGCACTACAATGATAAAAGCTGTATTTCACCAACTAACCCCAGCTTGAGAAAGCTCTTCTGGAGTGCATCAGGGCGAAGCACCGTGACTGATGGCAACAGTGTGCGGCCATCACAGCAGCTGCCTTAGCTGCGGATAGAGAGGTGCAAACTCACCAGCAGGAAAGGAGAACAGCAGGGAACATGCAGTTAATGTAAAACACGATGGGAGACAAAAATACTGGCTGGTGACGGCTCTGCATGCTGTTTTGTTTTCAGTTAGCCATGACTGGAAGAAATCAAAGACTTGTGGGTGGCGGAAGAATTCATCACTCAATTGCCACTCTTACCATCCCTTGCCAAGTAAGAAAATCAGTTGCTCATGAATTGGATCACAGAAATCACCATACAAGTAGAATAAAATGCTAGATACTCAGTGAGAAAAACAAATGCTGCATTTCTTAAAACAAAACAAAAAATAACACATACCAAACCAACCCAAACCCCACTTATCAACACACTCATCAGGCAAGAAGTAACTGCAACAGGTAAGCAGTTAATTAGTTGGGTGGTTCATATGGCTGTCTTCAGTCTAATGCCAATTCAGACAAGAATTTCAGTTTGATTTAAGGTTCAACATTACTTTTTCGTAACAGTGTCCCTTAACATAAGATTATGCTACGTATAAAGATTTTTTTCCTAACAGAAATGCTTGGTTTACTAACCAGAATACTCCAGCACTGTTCCAGAGAAGAGATGTATTAATGCATTCGTTTAAACTTCTGATCATTCACTTTTTCCCTGTTGGATGGCTGCATCTTTCACAACTGTAAAGGATGTTTTCAATCTTGAGGAGTTTTTGTTTTACCTCACGTCACCTGAATACAAACTCCTCTGGCCAAAATACCTACAGACTTTATTCTAAAGACTGTATCACATTTATGCACCTAAAAGAGAGCAGGCAAATTCTGAATGGGATACTGAGGGCTATTACCCCTTGGCTCCGTGTTATGAGGGCACAGTAAAATGAAAATCCCTTAGGAAGAAAGTGGCTCCCCAAAGCCAAACCCAGTAGAATACACCATCTCTCAGAGACAAGATGCAGCTGGTCACGTGGACAGGCAGCAGCAATGGCTGAACTAATACAGGCACATATTTAGCCTTTAACCTGGCGAAGAACTATGTAGTTTAAAGCTAAGAGCATTGTTTCCTAACAAATTCCTTCTTTGAATTACAGAGTGCTATGATCCCCACAGCATCCCCTGTGCTGCAGCATCTCAGCTGCCATTCTGGGAAGCAATAATTCCTTTGGGAAGGGGGATCACTGCTGGCAAAGCCAATACACCACAGCAACACCGCAATGGGAATAACTGTCCAGAACATCACAGGGAACACAGCGATGGTGATTTGGCCCAGAATGGCCAGCTGTGCCGACAGCTTTTACAGTGTCATGTATCACCCCAACTGGAACAGCGTGCTGTCCAGCTACTCCAGGAAGAGTTTCCAGAAGGAGGAGAGGGTGCCTGCCAGCCGCTCCTCCTTCGTGGTGGAAAACCTCACCCCGCTGACCACGTACCTGCTGTGCGTCACCTGCCAGTCCGCCAGCCCTTCCAGCGACCAGTGCCAGGTGTTCAACACGCTGGAACAAGACCCAGCATCTGCTAACACCACCAAGAAGGAGCTGGCATTGGGCATCTGGCTGGCCAGCAGCCTCCTGCTGCTCATCATTGCCGCAATCCTCCTCTACGGTTGCCTGCACCTGCTGTGCCGTGCTAGGCGTGAGCGGTCACGAGGCCAAGCCGGGGCCTCCCAGAGGGAGGCACATGACTTGGAGGAGCCCAGCAAGCAGAGCCAAGTGCTGCAGGACAGAGAGGAGAGGCAGCCAGATGGCATCCAGCTGGCCACCATCATTGAGAATCCTGCAGTCTGCAGGGAGCCTGGCCAGCCAGTCTCCAGCAGCCGGGAACGAGCGCCAGCAGCAGGACAGTGCCCTGCTGTCAGTTGGGAACCATAGGTCACGGCAGAGCTGTACTCCCATCTGTGCCTGCTACCTTTGTGGCCCTTTCCAGTGCCCTACACAGCCACTGATGCCCTAGGCGAAAGCTGAGGTTCCCCAGAAGTTTGCTAGTTAAAAAAGAAGCATGGAGCAAGCCATTGGCTTGCATCTGGGGGCAGATGTGGTTGCTTTCCTTTCATAGAAATGAGCAAACAGACACAAAAACAAACATAAACAGTGACCAAGTTACTTTTTTTTTCTTTTTTTTCTTTTTTTGGTTTTTCTAAGAAATACAAACAAGAATAGAAGTTTCCACATGAGAGCTCAGTTTGCCATATTGAAGCACACGCCCTGAGCATGAGAGCTTGCTGGTACACATGTCAGTGCCCAATTCTGACCACTTCTCACTCGCTCTCAATAGTGCCCACTCTCAGCAACGGCTCAGTCACAGCACATCAGCTACACTCATAGGGTTTTCATGGTGTCCTTTCATCTCTCAGAAATCTCCACTCGGCTGGACACACACAGTACAGCGCCTCTGCAAGGACAATTCCATACAGCCTAAGAGATGCTCCAGGCTAACCTTACTTGGCACTCTCTGGCTCCCACCAGAGGCTCCTTTCCGCACTGCAGGCAAGTGACTTCCCGCAGGGGCAATGCAGTTCAGAGAAGCAGCTCCTGGTCCTTGCTCCTTTTTTGACAACAGAACTCATCCAGCAGCTGCCAGTTTCCAACCACACTCAAAGTTTTGTACAGCCAAGGGGCAAGGAAGTAAAAACGTGCTGAAATGCATTTCCTGTTTGTAACAACCAAATCTGCTCCTCATCTCACTCTGCGTTGGACTTCATGGCAAAGTATCAAGCAAAGTCCTCAGACAGAAACCTGTTCCCCTTTGCAAAATGATGAATCTTGTCTCGTTTATGTGTAAAAGTCACCCTGCTTGAAATCTCTTTACATTCCCTAAAAAATGTAGTAAATCTTTGCATCGCTGTGTAACATGGTCTTTCTGAAAGAAGGATGCACTCACTGTGCCTGCAGGTATTTTAAGCAGCCACTGGCACAGACATCCACGTACAGCCTGCCCCACTGACACAGCCTGGCTCTGCCAGCAGGGGTACAGGGTGGGCAGCCACTGGACCAACATGCATCCCAGCAGGCAGTGTGGCTCAGCAGCTGCTCTGTTTTGACCACAACTCCCACAGCTTGTGAAAAACCTCAACCCTCGTCTTGCTGGAAATAGATGAGCACACCTAAGCGTCAGGCTTCTTTTACTTTTTTCTCCCAGGACAAGTGAAATATGGAGAAAGGTGTGCCAAAAAAAGGAGAGTATTTCTTCTCCAGAAAAAAACCACCTCAGAAGGCATCTTTGTTGCATTAAGTTGGCAACGTGTTCTCCATCCCTGCACAGCACCTCCTACAGCTGACAAGTGTTTGTCTGACACCAATCTTAAATAAACCATGAAGATGACAGCACTTCTCTGTTGTCTGAAGTCAGGGTGAATCATGAAATGCACTGACAAACTCTTCAGAATGTGAGGGAAACACTACAGGTTTGCTTCCAAAAAAGGGTAAGGGTGGTGGGCAAAGATTTGAATTAATAATTCAGCTGATAACAAGATGCAGCACAGTGCAAACTGGTGTCTATTTGCACACCAACATAGATAGAAACCATCATCTTTATACTGAGAAGTATTTTCCAAAGGGCTGAGGTTTTTTTCACTAAATAACTCAGCACATACAAAATGCACAAGACATACAAGTGTGAAAAAGTTCCGTAAGCGTTGTTTAAGGCAGAAAGCTGACTTATTAAACTCTGGCCTACAGGACCAGGCACTTTATAATCAGGTACTCTTGCCAACAATGCTCTGGAGGTGCTGCAAGCACAGCACTGACAGCCAGGCAAGGGCAGCCACCGTCACAGAGAAAGGACATAAACCTGTTAAAGAGTGTCCAAAGGAGGACTACAAAGATGGTGAAGGATCTGTAGGACAAGGTGTATGACAAGCAGCTGAGGTTGTGCTCAGCGCAGAGGAGCTGAGGGGAGGCCTGATGGCGGCTGCAGCTCCTCACAGGGAGCGGAGGGGCAGCGCTGAGCTCTGCTCTGTGTGACAGCGACAGGACCCGAGGGAACGGCATGGAGCTGTCAGGGGAGGGCAGCTGGGGAAAGGGAAAGGGGCTGCACCACAGGGCGCTGGGCGGGGAACGGGATGCACAGGGCTGTGGGCACGGCACCCAGTGCTGCTGGAATTCGAGGAGCGTTTGAACACTGCTCTGAGCCAGCGTTTGATTTTTGGACTGGTCCCATGTGGAGCCAGAGGCTGGACTTGTTGATCCCTGTGGCACCGTTCCACCTTGGGATATCCTACAATTCTACCAGTCATTCACATGTAATGTTAGTTCCGAACGCCCAGAACAGACTATTTCTTATACCTGCATTACTCTTTCCTGCATCCAGCCAACATTGCCAAATCTCAGTCTGCTGACATTCATTTTGCTAATCCTACACACATTTCAGTGGTGTAAGGGGATTGTAACGTCAAACACTCCTGCTCACTTTCAAGGCCAATAGCTCCATCCTGTCTCCAGCTCTGCTCCCAGCTCAGCCAGAATAAGTTATACTTATAGCCTTCTGTTTTGATAATGAAGATACTGCTAAGAAAACTTTGGATACAGTAAAGAATGCGGACACAACTGTCTACGCTGAACATGAATACACATTAACATAGACCAAATGATTTAACCCATGTAGAAATATATGAGAATGAGTGAGCCCCTTGAGATCAAAACTAGAAATATCATCAGTGATTCACAAACAAGTTCTGTGCTTATGCAAAAATTCTGCGCAGCAAGTGTGTAACTATTACAATCCCATACACACCTAAGTATTTGCATGCACAGGGAGCCACCATGCCTCTGCCCTGACCTAAATAAACACCAACAATTGCTTAAAACCAACCAAACAAAAAACCCAGTTAGAAAAAGAAAAAACAAAAAACCACACACACATTCCTTGGGTATCTAATCAATACAAAGTGCTTGCCTGAATATTCCAAGTAGTTCAAATACTCAGAAAGACAGCAAAAATAAATACACAGCTGTTCCATATTCCTCCATTACCCACAGATGTAGCAATTGAACAGTTTAACAGTTTAAAGACTCAAAACTTGTCACAGAGTGCATCTACTGGCTGTGCAGTACACAGAATAACATCTCATGGTAATATCACTGTGGAATTTGTAGCACCCATCGTGTAAGAAACACCACCTGTTACTTACTGTGTACATAGAAATTTCCTTACAACTCCGTTCTGATATTCTCAATTCCAAAACACACTGGAGTCAAGAATAAAATATATACTTCTGTAAAAATTCAGAACTAGTAAGGAATCCTTGCTAACACAGGTGCATCTAATTACAAAATTTGCTCCAGAAATACACAGAACCATAGAATGGCTTGGGTTAGAAGCAACCTTGAGGATCACGAGTCTCCAACCCCCCTGCCACAGGCAGGGCCACCAACCACCCCATTTAATACTAGACCTGGGGCCCCACGCTAGTATTAACCTAATTAGGCTAATACTAGGCTGCCCAGGGCCCCATCCAACCTGGCCTTAAACACCTCCAGGGCGTTCAACCTCCACAACTACTCCAGACAGCCTGTTCCAGCACCTTACCACTCTCTTGAACCAAACATCTAAGAAGCCCTTTGATGGCTTCTTTTCATAGCACTACAGAAAAATATTCAGAATCATATCTAAAAACGTATGGCTCTCAGAGTAAGGATTACTGAACTCATTTTAATAATGTAACCTTACTGATAAAATGTTCCCTGGCAAATCCTCCTCACTCACCCCACTGTGTCATCATTTAGATAAATAACGTTAACAATCTGCACTAAATTCAGTGAGCTTTCTGGTCTTTACACAGCATCTGGTGAATTCCTAAAATAGTAAAGAACACAATAACTCTAATGTAAGAGAATCCTGTGCTCCTACAATTTACCATTGCCAGCTGGAGAACAATTACATAAAAACACTTTTCACAGGACCAGATGATCACTTGTTACTGTTCTGTATTAAAAATAAAACTAAAAGGTGAAGCTTTCCAACTCTTTTACATGCTAAAGCATGAAAATTTTAAGGGAGCAGCACATTCATTATGTCTAAGATGTGTAACTGCACAAACAACTACAAATCACACAGGCTTCTGTGGAAATCCTGCACAAACCCGCAGAGCACCATGAGGCCAATACAAGATGAAGAGATGAGCTGACCAGAATGCCAAGCTCATCACAGAGACTGTGACATCCTCAGCTTGAAGTTGCCAAAGAAATGGTACATTTTCTCTAGAATAATTCAAGCAGTTTAGTATCTGATAGTTTAGGATAGTAAGAGTGTCTATATTCCTGCTATGCCAGACAATAACTGAAGCTGTTTTTCCCACCCGTTCTTGTCTTTCCTGCTACACCTTTAGCAGCAGAGCAAGGAAGTGGCTGCACTTAGGACGGGCTCTCATTCTCCCTTCCCCAGCTGACTGCTCTCTGAGCCTGCTCTGCCACTACAAGCAGCTGCAGTGCAAGGTGGTTGAGAGCAGGAGCTGTTTTTAGCCATCAGATAAGACTATCAGACTAATCCCTTGCACTTTGGCTAAAATATACTGTGGACTTCATGGCACAGCCTAAAAACAAAGTGTACATTGAATTCAACACAACCACAGAATGTACTTGAGTCCATCTCTAGTATAACTTTCATATGCATAAAATATATGAATATTTTTGGTAACATTCATGTGAAACAATACCCTTAAATACTGGCAAACCATAAACGTAACGGGAATAAACTCCAACCTTTGATCCGTAGAGGTACTGGGGCTGAGCATTGGGCTGCTTATCTCTCTGGAACTCCTGAGAAAATGGTAGCACAGTCCGAACAAATCTACAATAATAAAACAAAGACATAATTATTAACCCATTAATTACTAGGTGTGTGTCTACTGCACTTTATCCTGTACACTACTGTTGTCTATGAATAACATCAAAGCCAGGCCAGTACCTTTCAGACCTGAGGATGGGAAAGCACAGAGCCTCCAAACAC